AATGTTTAACAATTAGACGGACAGACTTAAGATGAAAATATTTTCGGACGAAAAGACTCTTGGACGAAAAGACCGGACACCATTGGAACAGCTGTTGTGAGCGAAATGGCCAAGCTAGACAACTACAACTAAATCAAAATGAAAAGAAAAACTGGAAAATCCGCTGAAGTTTTAACTCAGCCCTTCGTAAATAAATCCAAAACACTCATGGCATTGTACCTTGAATTTGAAGAACAGGTGGCTACAACCTTGACCATTCTGTTACAAGCGTCGTATTAAAATTAAAATCCGAAGAACGCCTACCGATCGTCTCCTGTGTTTCGTTTCGTTTGCTGTGAGATTATGTCACGGAAGTCTCGGGGTCTGGGGCGAGGAGGCAAGTATCTCCAGCTGCAAACAATAATTCTTGCGTTTCCAAGTGCGACTCGTGCAAAAGTAAACGAGACATTCCACGCAAAGAGCGCTGGCGATGGGTTTTTTTTTTTTTTTTCTTTTGGTAATAAAGATTTCAATTTTGATCACTCAATTTTGAACGTTAAAGTAAAGTGAATTTAAATCCCGGAGATACATGCGAGGTATTCGATTTTAAACTTACGTTGAGCAAGACTCGGGAGGGCGAAGAAAGTTGAGTCTAATGACCTATGTGCATATTACAAAACAAACCAAACAATGAAGAGGCATTTCATTAATATGCACAGGTCAGTTTGTTACGTTCCTCGGTCGGTAACCATGTTTATTTTAAGAAGGTGGCATTTAACATGATAAACAGCCCAGTGTTTAGAATTACCCGCTGAGAGGTCAGAGGAATTAAAGGAACACTTTTGTTATACATTCAGAATTGGGAGAATTACATTTGTTTTTCCTTCCTCCTAGGAATGATCGAACGAAAGTTCTAGTAATAAGTAAGCGAAACGAAACAGATGATATTTCATTTGCCAGGTGAGTTCGATGTGCTTTAAAATCACTTATCTCCTTCTCGAGAAGAAAAAATAAACGATCGAACAAATATCACTTTTGCAAGGGTTCGGTAGAAACACCTTACAATTTCAGTGGTCCTCAGTAAAAAGTATTAAAAATAGCAGGACAATGCGCTGAAAATATTTCACTTGTTATTAATGACTGTAATCAACTAATGACCATGATTAATTCACCGAATACAAATCGACTACGATCAAAGGATTATTGTACAACTAATGAATGTCAGTTGAGTCGGTGGGACGCACAATAAAACAAACTCTATGCCAGATTCTTTGTTCTTTCGTAAAGACGTCAGCTTAAAAAAGAAATTTCAAAAACAAAATTTGTAAGTTGATTACTTCACGACGGGTGACTGTCATCGATTTCAAGTTAGGGCATGTATAGCCCCTCGGGACATTGTCTTACAAGACTAGTTCAAAACGGTCGCAGTCGTTCTGCCATCTGATTGGTGCCAGAAAATCTTTGTGTTTTTCTGCCCAATCAGAGTGAAGTGTGCTTTAGAGTACTTTCGTGTGTTTTAACACGGACATTATACTAGTAGCTCAGTTGCTTAAAACACACGAAAGTACTCTAAAGCACACTTCACTCTGATTGGGCAGAAAAACACAAAGATTTTCTGGCACCAATCAGATGGCAGAACGACTGCGACCGTTTGGAACTAGTCTTGTAAGACAATGTCCCCAGGGGCTCTTCTGCCCTTAACTTGAAATCGACTCACTGCCCCTGGGTCTCCGAGGATGATTCCTAATGATCATAGGTATTTAACTTGGTCTTCAACAATCGACATAAGAGGTGAAATGACAATGACCAAGGGACTAGAAGAGAATTTCAACACTCTAGACAGCAGTTGAAAGATTAAACTTTTTCCAAACCCCTTCGGTAACTGCCCGAAAACATCTTTCCTTCCCACGATCTTCTCGTTAATAAGTTTTTGATCAGATTTTAATTAGCTAACCGGAAACACAGCTAAGCTTTCTCTTAGCACTTGCTGGAGGTCGTCCACGAACTCAACGTTCTCTGCAACCTTGGCCGTATAGTGAACGACTTTACTACTAAGATAAGAATTTGGCGCGCACAAAAGGCAGAAAGCTACGTGGGCGAAAGCGCCAGTTGCTCGACATACCTGCGTGGCTCGTGCGACGAAATAACCACACGGGATTGGTAAAGTTTCAGTCACAGCAAATTATGCAAAAAATCTAGAAAAATTTAAGCTTAAATCTCGTTTAACGTTTAAAGCGACATATCAATGAGTGTAACCATCGTGTTGTATACAAACCTCGCAAACTTTAAAACACGTTCTCTAGTGATACCTGCGAAAGTATTCAGTATAATTTCCGGTAAGATTTTCGCGGACAATCTGACCGATTTCTCTTACATTGTGTGCTGAGACTGAAACTTTTCACCTGTAGCAAGTCTCCTTCGCACGATCCTAACAAACATAGCGAGCAACTGAGCTACTAGTATAATGACCGTGTTAAAACACACAAAAGTACTCTAAAGCACACTTCACTCTGATTGGGCA